GATCACCCCCATTCCTACCCTCCCTTCCCCCATGTCCCCTATATCACTCCTGATCACCCCCATTCCCATACCTCCCCTTCCCCCATGTCCCCTATATCACTCCTGATCACCCCCATATCACTCCTGTCCCCCCTATACACTCCCCCATGTCCCCTATATCACTCCTGATCACCCCCATTCCTATACCCCCCTTCCCCCATGTCCCCTATATCACTCCTGATCACCCCCCATTCCTATCCCCCATGTCCCCTATATCACTCCTGATCACCCCCCCATACCCCCCCCATGTCCCCTATATCACTCCTGATCACCCCCATTCCCATACCCCCCTTCCCCCATGTCCCCTATATCACTCCTGAACATTTCCCCCATGTCCCCTATATCAGTCCCACCCATACCCCCCCCTTCCCCCATGTCCCCTATATCACTCCTGATCACCCCCATACCCCCCCCCCATGTCCCCTATATCACTCCTGATTACCCCCATTTCCCCCATGCCCCTATATCACTCCTGATCCCCATCCCCCCCCCTTTTAAATTGTATAGATTGGGTTTCCTGTATGACCTCTCCTCTCTTCTCAGCACCATGGGCCTCACCAAGCAGTATCTCCGGTACGCCGCCTCTGCCGTCTTCGGGTGATCGCCAGTCTGAAGGCCAACGTCTGCTTCGTCACCCTGCGCGGTGAGAAGGGGCGCTACGTGGCGGTCGGCGCCTGCGAACACGTCTTCATCTGGGACACCCGGAAAGGAGAGAAGGTCAGTTGTCTCTGCAGTGCGACTTGATGCGACTTTGGCTTTGACCGAGGATGATTGTGCCGCAGAAAGTCGCACACAAATCTCGTGTATCAGTCACGTGCGACTTTCATGCAACATTGAAGTCTATGGCCCTCAAGTCGCATGAACCAAGGCAGTGAGGAAATACTTAAGTCGCTGCCACTTGAAGTTGCACAGATCTGAATGGTACTCCTAGGCAAACATGGGGTGCGACTTGTCATGCGAATTTGCCCCCCCCCCCCCCCCCCCCCCCCCGCCCCCCCCCCCCCCCCCCCCCCCCAAAGTCGCATGGCAAGTCGCACAAGTGTGAATGCCCACATGGAAGAAAAATATATTTGAAATGCTACAATTTTGGCCGTATTCAATATATTTCAATAAATGTGTGTGTGTGTGTATACAGTGGGGATGGAAAGTTTGGGCACCCCAGCTAAAAATGTGTATTAATGTGTTAAAGAAGCCAAGGAAAGATGGAAAAATCTCCAAAAGGCATCAAATTACAGATTAGACATTCTTATAATATGTCAACAAAAGTTAGATTTTATTTCCATCATTTACACTTTCAAAATAACAGAAAACAAAAAAATGGCGTCTGCAAAAGTTTGGGCACCCTGCAGAGTTAATATCTTGTACTGCCCCCTTTGGCAAGTATCACAGCTTGTAAACGCTTTTTGTAGCCAGCCAAGAGTCTTTCAGTTCTTGTTTGAGGTATCTTTGCCCATTCTTCCTTACAAAAGTCTTCCAGTTCTTTGAGATTTCTGGGCTGTCTGTCACGCACGGCTCTTTTAAGGTCTATCCATAGATTTTCAATGATGTTGAGGTCAGGAGATTGTGAAGGCCATGGCAAAACCTTCAGTTTACGCCTCTTGATGTAATCCCCCGTGGATTTCGAGGTGTGTTTAGGATCATTATCCATTTGTAGAAGCCATCCTCTCTTTAACTTCAGCTTTTTCACAGATGGCATCAAGTTACCATCCAAAATTTGCTGAAATTTTATTGAATCCATTTTTCCTTCTACTCGGGAGATGTTCCCTGTGCCACTGGCTGCAACACAACCCCAAAGCATGATTGATCCAACCCCATGCTTCACAGTTGGACAGAGGTTCTTTTCATTAAATTCTGTGCCCCTTCTTCTCCAAACGTACCTTTGCTCATTCCGGCCAAAAACTTCAATTTTAACCTCATCCGTCCACAGAACTTGTTTCCAAAATGCATCAGGCTTGTCTATATGTTCATTTGCAAAGTTCAAACGATGATTTTTGTGGTGAGGATGTAGAAGAGGTTTTCTTCTGATGACTCTTCCATGAAGACCATATTTGTACAAGTATCTCTTTTATAGTGGAATAGTGACCACAACTCCAGTGTCTGCCAGATCTTTCTGAAGGGATCGTGCCAGTCAAACGTGGGTTTTGAATTGTTTTTCTCACAATCCTGCGAGCTGTTCTGTCTGATATTTTTCTTGGTCTTCCAGATCTTGCTTTAACTTCCACTGTTCCTGATGACTGCCATTTCTTAATGACATTCCGAATAGAGGATATTGACATCTGAAAACGCTTTGCTATCTTCTTATAGCCTTCTCCAGCTTTGTGAGCGTCAACTATTTTCAGTTTCAGTTTTCTAGACAACTGCTTAGAAGAACCCATGGTGCTGATTGTTGGGGCAAGGTCAGATGAGTCTGGGCATTTAAAACCTTTGAGATTGACATCACCTGGTCTTCCCAGACGATGATTGAGAACAATCCATGACACTGGCAGGTCTCAGCTTGGCAAAGGGGGCAGTGCATGCTATAAATTCTGCAGGGGGCCCAAACTTTTGCAGACGCCATTTTTTTGTTTTCTGTTATTTTGAAAGTGTAAATGATGGAAATAAAATCTAACTTTTGTTGACATATTATAAGAATGTCTAATCTGTAATTTGATGCCTTTTGGAGATTTTTCCATCTTTCCTTGGCTTCTTTATGCACATTAATACAAATTTTTAGCTGGGGTGCCCAAACTTTCCATCCCCACTGTGTGTGTGTGTGTATGTGTGTGTGTATCTATATATATATATACATTAATAGCATTATATATATATATATATATATATGTCATATATATAATATATATAAATCTACACTGCCAACATTGTGCATTTCAAAAATGTCTTTTTTATTACACATGAAATGCTTTTTTATACATGATATATGAACAATCTTTAAAAAAAAAATGCAATTCAAATATACTGCATGTCTTTAAAAATACAAATCTACATTTTTGGAACGCATTTACAAATATGTTAAAATTACTTTTTTATATGTTAAAAAAATCTGAAGAATATATTTAAAATAAAATATATTTTTAAAAATATTTTTCATATGTTTTGTAAATATATAAAAAAATGCATTTCATCATACAGTGTATAGATATATATTATTTATGGACATATTTGAAATGCTACAATTTTGGCCGTATTCAATATATTTCTATATATATATGTAATTCGTGCAGGAATTGCACCGCATTCCTGTGTGAATTAAATGCAGATGTCTATGCGGTGCGATTTCAGCCGCACACTTTGGCTCAAATTGCATCACATCTGCACCAAAAAGTTGCAGGACTCCCCCGCCTCCCCCCCCCAAAATCCATACCTGAATCGCAACACATGGGTGTTTTCAATTTCTGGCAATCGCATTTTGCTGTCTGTTTCGGGGTGTCATTAATTATCGAAACCTGCGCCAGATCGCATGAATGTGCTGCGATTGCAATGCGCTGTGGGAAACGCACAGGATTCGCAGTGTCTCCCGCAATGCATTGGTGTGAACCCGGGCTGAGTCTCTGAAGTGCCCCATTGTGGATCGGCACCCTGTGAGGAGCCCTCTGGATTCTGGCCGCAGCATAGCATTCGTACAATTGTAGGATAGCCAATCACTTGTCACCAGAATATCGCTGTATTTCCTGGGTGTGGCCAGACCACCCCGTATTTTTTTTTTTTTTTTTTTTTTCGGTTGGTGCAGAACCATCTTGTCACCCCTTACGCCACGTACAGATCCGTGACCGCTGTGTTCCATGACAGGTCCTCATTCTACAAGGCCAGAAGCAGGAGGTGACACAGCTCTGCCCCTCCCCCGACGGGCTGTCATTGGCTGTGGGATACGAGGACGGCTCCATACGGGTGTTCAGTCTGCTGAGCGGAGAGAGCGGGATCACCTTCAACGGGCACAAGGCGGCTGTGACGGCGCTGAGCTACGACCACCTGGGGGGGCGCCTGGTCTCCGGCTCCAAGGTAAGCCAGATGCACGCCACCGACTACCGCTGACCGCTCTGTCCTGATGACCGCTACTCGCTGCTGGAGCCGGGTGCATATTGTCCGATCTGTGAAATCTACCAGTACAGAATAAACAAAAAAGGGGCGGGGCCTATAAAATGTAGTGTGATTCACACAGGAACCGCACCGCCTTCCTGCGCAAATCACATGTGACTTGTGTGCAATGCGATTTGAGCCGTATATTTTGTATGGCTCCGATCGCATCGAATCCGCACCAAAAAGGTGCAGGACCCTTTTTTTATTTTGGGTCCACACTATAATTGGATTGCTTGGGTGTTCACATGCAGGGTCCGGGGAGAGCGGATCTAGTGAATGCGGGGTCCGAGGAGAGCGGATCTAGTGAATGCGGGGTCCGGGGAGAGCGGATCTAGTGAATGCGGGGTCCGGGGAGAGCGGATCTAGTGAATGCGGGGTCCGGGGAGAGCGGATCTAGTGAATGCGGGGTCCGGGGAGAGCGGATCTAGTGAATGCGGGGTCCGGGGAGAGCGGATCTAGTGAATGCGGGGTCCGGGGAGAGCGGATCTAGTGAATGCGGGGTCCGGGGAGAGCGGATCTAGTGAATGCGGGGTCCGGGGAGAGCGGATCTAGTGAATGCGGGGTCCGGGGAGAGCGGATCTAGTGAATGCGGGGTCCGGGGAGAGCGGATCTAGTGAATGCGGGGTCCGGGGAGAGCGGATCTAGTGAATGCGGGGTCCGGGGAGAGCGGATCTAGTGAATGCGGGGTCCGGGGAGAGCGGATCTAGTGAATGCGGGGTCCGGGGAGAGCGGATCTAGTGAATGCGGGGTCCGGGGAGAGCGGATCTAGTGAATGCCGGGTCCGGGGAGAGCGGATATAGTGAATGCCGGGTCCGGGGAGAGCGGATATTGTGAATGCCGGGTCCGGGGAGAGCGGATATTGTGAATGCCGGGTCCGGGGAGAGCGGATAAAGTGAATGCCGGGTCCGGGAAGAGCGGATACAGTGAATGCGGGGTCCGGGGAGAGCGGATACAGTGAATGCGGGGTCCGGGGAGAGCGGATACAGTGAATGCGGGGTCCGGGGAGAGAGCGGATACAGTGAATGCGGGGGTCCGGGGGAGAGCGGATACAGTGAATGCGGGGTCCGGGGAGAGCGGATACAGTGAATGCGGGGCGGGGGAGGATACAGTGAATGCGGGGTCCGGGAGAGCGGATACAGTGAATGCGGGGTCCGGGGAGAGCGGATACAGTGAATGCGGGGTCCGGGGAGAGCGGATACAGTGAATGCGCGGGTCCGGGGAGAGAGCGGATACAGTGAATGCGGGGTCCGGGGAGAGCGGATACATGCCGGGTCCGGGGAGAGCGGATACAGTGTATGCCGGGTCCGGGGAGAGCGGATACAGTGGACGCCGGGTCCGGGGAGAGCGGATACGGGTCCGGGGGACGATACAGTGGACGCCGGGTCCGGGGAGAGCGGATACAGTGGACGCCGGGTCCGGGGAGCGGAGCGGATACATACAGTGGACGCCGGGTCCGGGGAGAGCGGATACAGTGGACGCCGGGTCCGGGGCGAGCGGATACAGTGGACGCCGGGTCCGGGGAGAGCGGATACAGTGGACGCCGGGTCCGGGGGAGAGCGGATACAGTGGCCGCCGGGTCCGGGGATTATGTATATAATGATACAATGTATAATAGGATGTATATAATGATACTATGTATCTCTCTCCTCTATTCAGGGAGGAATAAAAACCAAGGGGGCGGGCTGTACAGTGACTGATCAGTGTGATAGCCAATCAGAGGCTATCACAGCGATCATGTGACCTTTGGCTCTCCGTGACACCCCTCTCTGTGTGCTGGGAGCACGCGGTGCGACGCGCTCCCAATACAAAGACAGGTACACAAATAGGCGGCCCGCGGAAAAAAAAAACAGGTCTGTGAGACTGCATATTTGTGTGACGTCGGCGGGAAGGGGGTTAATCAGAAAGAATGAAGGACATTGAATTGGTGCCGCAGCCAGGGAAATGGCATTTTCAGAAGTTAGTTGCCACAGCCTCCTAGTTTTTTTTTTTTTTTTTTTCGGCACGGGTTCTGAATGCGAAGTGCGGTATGGACAGTACGGTTCATCTTTTTCCATGTCGTTGCATCATGGGAGATAATCCGCTCCTCTCTTGCTCCTCCCTAGGACACAGACGTCATCGTGTGGGACGTCATTAATGAGAGCGGGTTGTACCGCCTCCGAGGACACAAAGATGCCGTCACCCAAGCCTTGTTCCTGAAGGGGCGGAACCTTCTCATCACCAGGTACCCCGGGGGGGGGGGGGGGGGGGTCTATACACACCAATAACTCACAGCCCAGCTCGAGACATGTGATAAAGGGGGCCAATGGGGTTGAAGTACTAAAGGCAAATTGGTCGCGCACTTTGCAGGTGCAGTTGCACTCGTTTTCCCCCGGAGGTAGAGGTAAGTGAACGTGGAGTAACTTCGCTTTGTACAGATGACCCAATCAGATGCAAGGAAATACTAAAAATAAAACTCAGCATTTCTGGTTGCACGTGGTCGAATGACGGAAATGAGCCGAGCTGCGCTGCATTCACTGAGAAAATGAGAGCAACTGCACTTACAAAGTGCACGGCCTATTTACCTTTAGTAAATCCCAATACCTTCCAGTCGGTTTTCTTTAAAAAAACCGCTACAGCCTGAGTAGAAAAACCTGTCCCCTGACAGCATGCTGCGGAGAAGGACCCTTGTTCTCTGTGTGGAAGCAGGGGTCTCTCTGCAGAGAAGGGCCCTTGTTCTCTGTGTGGAAGCAGGGGTCTCTCTGCAGAGAAGGGCCCTTGTTCTCTGTGTGGAAGCAGGGGGTCTCTCTGCAGAGAAGGGCCCTTGCTCTCTGCGTGGAAGCAGCGGTCTCTCTGCAGAGAAGGGCCCTTGTTCTCTGTGTGGAAGCAGTGGTATCTCTGCAGAGAAGGGCCCTTGTTCTCTGTGTGGAAGCAGCGGTCTCTCTGCAGAGAAGGGCCCTTGTTCTCTGTGTGGAAGCAGTGGTATCTCTGCAGAGAAGGGCCCTTGTTCTCTGTGTGGAAGCAGCGGTCTCTCTGCAGAGAAGGGCCCTTGTTCTCTGTGTGGAAGCAGCGGGTATCTCTGCAGAGAAGGGCCCTTGTTCTCTGCGTGGAAGCAGCGGTCTCTCTGCAGAGAAGGGCCCTTGTTCTCTGTGTGGAAGCAGTGGTATCTCTGCAGAGAAGGGACCTTTGTTCTCTGTGTGGAAGCAGCGGTCTCTCTGCAGAGAAGGGCCCTTGTTCTCTGTGTGGAAGCAGTGGTATCTCTGCAGAGAAGGGCCCTTGTTCTCTGCGTGGAAGCAGCGGTCTCTCTGCAGAGAAGGACCCTTGTTCTCTGTGTGGAAGCAGTGGTATCTCTGCAGAGAAGGGCCCTTGTTCTCTGCGTATAAGCAGCGGTCTCTCTGCAGAGAAGGACCCTTGTTCTCTGTGTGGAAGCAGTGGTATCTGCAGAGAAGGGCCCTTGCTCTCTGCGTGGAAGCAGCGGTATCTCTGCAGAGAAGGGCCCTTGTTCTCTGCGTGGAAGCAGCGGTCTCTCTCTGCAGAGAAGGGCCCTTGTTCTCTGTGTGGAAGCAGTGGTATCTCTGCAGAGAAGGGCCCATGTTCTCTGTGTGGAAGCAGCGGTCTCTCTGCAGAGAAGGGCCCTTGTTCTCTGTGTGGAAGCAGTGGTATCTGCAGAGAAGGGCCCTTGTTCTCTGCGTGGAAGCAGCGGTATCTCTGCTGAGAAGGGCCCTTGTTCTCTGCGTGGAAGCAGCGGTCTCTCTGCAGAGAAGGGCCCTTGTTCTCTGCGTGGAAGCAGCGGTCTCTCTGCAGAGAAGGGCCCTTGTTCTCTGCGTGGGAAGCAGCGGTCTCTCTGCAGAGAAGGGCCCTTGTTCTCTGCGTGGAAGCAGCGGTCTCTCTGCAGAGAAGGGCCCTTGTTCTCTGCGTGGAAGCAGCGGTCTCTCTGCAGAGAAGGGCCCTTGTTCTCTGCGTGGAAGCAGCGGTCTCTCTGCAGAGAAGGGCCCTTGTTCTCTGTGTGGAAGCAGTGGTCTCTCTGCAGAGAAGGGCCCTTGTTCTCTGCGTGGAAGCAGCGGTCTCTCTGCAGAGAAGGGCCCTTGTTCTCTGCGTGGAAGCAGCGGTCTCTCTGCAGAGAAGGGCCCTTGTTCTCTGCGTGGAAGCAGCGGTATCTCTGCAGAGAAGGGCCCTTGTTCTCTGCGTGGAAGCAGCGGTCTCTCTGCAGAGAAGGGCCCTTGTTCTCTGCGTGGAAGCAGCGGTCTCTCTGCAGAGAAGGGCCCTTGTTCTCTGCGTGGAAGCAGCGGTATCTCTGCAGAGAAGGGCCCTTGTTCTCTGCGTGGAAGCAGCGGTCTCTCTGCAGAGAATCTCTGCTCTCTGCAGGGAAGGGCCCTTGTTCTCTGCGTGGAAGCTATTTGTTCTCCCATAGAAGCAGTGGTATCTCTGCAGCCCAACACCCCCTTTTCCCCGCAGAGCCAAGTCTTAGAGCCCTTAATATGAGTCAGGAGCTTTGCTGATTGCAAAGATATCCGTCTCACCCAGCAGGGGGCGTCTGACCACTGCAGAGAGGCCACTGCTTCCACACAGTTTTTTTCCCACACACAAAAAAAAAAAGGTGATCTAAGTAAAAGGTGAGTGTTGTAAGCACCCCCAGCAATGGTTTGTCCCCTCCCCTGTAACTGTCACTTTTGCTGGGCAGTTCAGCCTGATAGAGGAAGCAAAAGAAATGTGGATACTTTGTGTTCAATATTTTATATTTGACTTGTCATCCTTTGTTTCATCGTCTGTGTAGCGGGAAAGACACGCTGGTGAAGTGGTGGGACCTGGACACGCAGCACTGCTTCCAGACCATGGTGGGCCATCGCACGGAGGTAGGTGGAAGGGTTCTGGAGTGTCAGCTCTTGTGGTTTCATTACTTTTCTATAGAAGTGATTCTAGTTTTTGTAGTCACATATATCGGTCGTTCAGATTTCCCGTGTTGGTTGGTAGTCGTCCTCCCTCTATAGTCGCTCTTCTTAACCGGTTCCCAACCGCGCTCTACCTGAAGGACGGCTACAGCGCGGTTGTGTAATCCTGGGATGACATCATTCCAGGACACGCCCCCCCCCCCCCCCCCCCCGCACCCCCAGCGGCGCGCACCTGGCCCCGCTGATGATCAATGTGTCCTATGGACACAGCTGATCACGTGCTACGGTAAACAGCCAATCACGGCTACTTTTTACCACGTGATTAGCTGTGTCCATGACATGCAATCTCCGGGTAAATATAGTTGCCGGTTATCGGTTGCACTTTCCCCGCGCTGTCACAGGACGAGAAAAGTACTGCCAAGGACTGGCAATTGTCAGCGCAGGGATTGGCACCGATCATCAGGGCCCTGATCAGTGCCCAGCAGTGCCGCCCTCCTGTACCCCTCAGTGCTGCTCATCAGTGACACCCACCTGTGCCCTGCAGTGGCGCCTATCAGTACCACCTCATCAGTGCCGCCTATCAGTACCACCTCATCAGTGCCGCCTATCAGTACCACCTCATCAGTGCTGCCTATCAGTACCACCTCGTCAGTGCTGCCTATCAGTACCACCTCATCAGTGCCGCCTATCAGTACCACCTCATCAGTGCCCGCCTATCAGTACCACCTCATCAGTGCCCGCCTATCAGTACCACCTCATCAGTGCCGCCTATCAGTACCACCTCATCAGTGCCGCCTATCAGTACCACCTCATCAGTGCCCCGCCTATCAGTACCACCTCATCAGTGCCGCCTATCAGTACCACCCCATCAGTGGCCGCCTATCAGTACCACCCCATCAGTGGCCGCCTATCAGTACCACCCCATCAGTGGCCGCCTATCAGTACCCACCCCATCAGTGGCCGCCTATCAGTACCACCCCATCAGTGGCCGCCTATCAGTACCACCCCATCAGTGGCCGCCTATCAGTACCACCCCATCAGTGGCCGCCTATCAGTACCACCCCATCAGTGGCCGCCTATCAGTACCACCCCATCAGTGGCCGCCTATCAGTACCACCCCATCAGTGCCGCCTATCAGTACCACCCCAACAGTGCCGCCTATCAGTACCACCCCAACAGTGCCGCCTATCAGTACCACCCCATCAGTGCCGCCTATCAGTACCACCCCATCAGTGCCGCCTATCAGTACCACCCCATCAGTGCCGCCTATCAGTACCACCTCATCAGTGCCGCCTATCAGTACCACCTCATCAGTGCCGCCTATCAGTACCACCTCATCAGTGCCGCCTATCAGTACCACCTCATCAGTGCCGCCTATCAGTACCACCTCATCAGTGCCGCCTATCGGTACCACCTCATCAGTGCCGCCTATCGGTACCACCTCATCAGTGCCCGCCTATCAGTACCGCCCCATCAGTGCCCGCCTATCAGTACCGCCCCATCAGTGCCCGCCTATCAGTACCGCCCCATCAGTGCCCGCCTATCAGTAACGCCCCATCAGTGCCGCCTCATCAGTGCCCGCCTATCAGTGCCGTGCCGCCTCATCAGTGCCCGCCTATCAGTACCACCTCATCAGTGCCCGCCTATCAGTACCACCTCATCAGTGCCCGCCTATCAGTACCACCCCATCAGTGCCCGCCTATCAGTACCACCTCATCAGTGCCGCCTATCAGTACCACCTCATCAGTGCCGCCCCATCAGTGCCCGCCTATCCATGCCCCATCACTGCTGCCTGTCAGAGTGCCGCCTCATCAATGCACATCAGTGAAGGAGAAAAATTACCTGTATGCAAAATTACATAATAGATACAAAGAAAAACTACTTTTTTTTTCACATTTTTTGCTAATTTTTTTGTTTTATAGCGCAAAAAAATAAAACCCCCAGCGGGGAGTAAATACCACCAAAAGAAATATCTATTTGTGTGAAAAAAATAAAACTTTCATATGGGTGCAGTGTTGCATGACCGCGCAATTGTTTTCTCAACAAAAGTAGAGTTCCTGTTTAATATAAAATGTCTCAAATTAATCGCAGTTTGTTGCCTTTGATAGGTTTGGGGTCTGACGGTTCTTTCAGAAGAGACCCGACTTCTTACTGGATCAGCAGACAGCGAGCTGAGGGCTTGGAGCATCTCTTATGTAGAAGGGGTAGGTGACCCCGGTACTGCCTTATGTAGAAGGGGTAAGTGACCCGGTACTGCCTTATGTAGAAGGGGTAAGTGACCCGGTACAACTTATGTAGAAGGGGGTAAGTGACCCGGTACTGTCTTATGTAGAAGAGGTAAGTGACCCGGTACTGTCTTATGTAGAAGAGGTAAGTGACCCGGTACTGCCTTATGTAGAAGGGGTAGGTGACCCGGTACAACCTTATGTAGAAGGGGTAAGTGACCCGGTACTGCCTTATGTAGAAGGGGTAGGTGACCCGGTACAACCTTATGTAGAAGGGGTAAGTGACCCGGTACTGCCTTATGTAGAAGGGGTAGGTGACCCGGTACTGCCTTATGTAGAAGGGGTAGGTGACCCGGTACAACCTTATGTAGAAGGGGTAAGTGACCCGGTACTGCCTTATGTAGAAGGGGTAGGTGACCCGGTACTGTCTTATGTAGAAGGGGTAGGTGACCCGGTACTGTCTTATGTAGAAGGGGTAGGTGACCCGGTACTGCCTTATGTAGAAGAGGTAGGTGACCCGGTACTGCCTTATGTAGAAGAGGTAGGTGACCCGGTACTGTCTTATGTAGAAGGGGTAGGTGACCCGGTACTGCCTTATGTAGAAGAGGTAGGTGACCCGGTACTGTCTTATGAAGAAGGGGTAGGTGACCCGGTACTGTCTTATGTAGAAGGGGTAGGTGACCCGGTACTGCCTTATGTAGAAGGGGTAGGTGACCCGGTACTGCCTTATGTAGAAGAGGTAGGTGACCCGGTACTGTCTTATGTAGAAGGGGTAGGTGACCCGGTACAACTTATGTAGAAGAGGTAGGTGACCCGGTACTGCCTTATGTAGAAGGGGTACTGCCTTATGTAGAAGGGGTAGGTGACCCGGTACTGACTTATGTAGAAGGGGTAGGTGACCCGGTACTGACTTATGTAGAAGGGGTAGGTGACCCGGTACTGCCTTATGTAGAAGGGGTAGGTGACCCGGTACTGCCTTATGTAGAAGGGGTAGGTGACCCGGTACTGACTTATGTAGAAGGGGTAGGTGACCCGGTACTGACTTATGTAGAAGGGGTAGGTGACCCGGTACTGCCTTATGTAGAAGGGGTAGGTGACCCGGTACTGCCTTATGTAGAAGGGGTAGGTGACCCGGTACAGCCTTATGTAGAAGGGGTAAGTGACCCGGTACTGCCTTATGTAGAAGGGGTAGGTGATCCGGTACTGCCTTATGTAGAAGGGGTAGGTGACCCGGTACTGTCTTATGTAGAAGGGGTAGGTGACCCGGTACTGTCTTATGTAGAAGGGGTAGGTGACCCGGTACAACTTATGTAGAAGGGGTAGGTGACCCGGTACTGTCTTATGTAGAAGGGGTAGGTGACCCGGTACAACTTATGTAGAAGGGGTAGGTGACCCGGTACAACTTATGTAGAAGGGGTAGGTGCGAAGGAAGGTATTATATGTGCATTACCCTGCAGCTTTTGCCTTTTCTATCCCCCCCCCCCCCCATCGTGTGTTGATGGTTTCCTCCATTATGTCCGCACAGCGGGAAGACTCAGAAGAGCCTCAGATGAAAAAATCTAAAGTTCCCTCTACAGAGGTGGAAGATGATGAAGAGAAGGTGACGGAGGAGGAGGTGACGGAGGAGGTGAGCGAAGGGCCCGGGGCCCCCCAAGCAGATGTTCTTCTTCAGATCAGAATTATATAGACCTTCATTATCTTCCTCTGTTCCCAGCGCATCCTGACCTGCCGGCGCTATGGATCCATTATGAGGGAAGGAAGGGACCGCGTGGTGACTCTGGGGGCCGACCGGACCAGAAGGTTCCTGGCTTGTCATGTGAGTGCCTGACACCTCTGACGATGGGGCCGTGTTGTTGCGTCATCCGTTGTCATAATGATTGCCCAGCAAAGGGCGGTAATGGTGGATCCATTCCCCAACAAAGGAGGTGTCCCCCCCTTCAATCTTGCCCCCCCTCCCAATCAGTCTTGCGCCCCCCCCCCCCTGCTGCACCCCTTCAGTCTTGCGCCCCCTGCTCCCCTTCGGTCTTGCGCCCCCCTGCTCCCCTTCAGTCTTGCGCCCCCCTGCTCCCCTTCAGTCTTGCGCCCCCCGCTCCCCTTCAGTCTTGCGCCCCCCGCTCCCCTTCAGTCTTGCGCCCCCCGCTCCCCTTCGGTCTTGCGCCCCCCGCTCCCCTTCGGTCTTGCGCCCCCCCCCCCCTGCTCCCCTTCAGTCTTGCGCCCCCTGCTCCCCTTCGGTCTTGCGCCCCCTGCTCCCCTTCGGTCTTGCCCCCCCCCCTGCTCCCCTTCGGTCTTGCGCCCCCCACGCTCCCCTTCGGTCTTGCGCCCCCCACGCTCCCCTTCGGTCTTGCGCCCCCCACGCTCCCCTTCGGTCTTGCGCCCCCCACGCTCCCCTTCGGTCTTGCGCCCCCCACGCTCCCCTTCGGTCTTGCGCCCCCCACGCTCCCCTTCGGTCTTGCGCCCCCCCCCCCACGCTCCCCTTCGGTCTTGCGCCCCCCACGCTCCCCTTCGGTCTTGCGCCCCCCACGCTCCCCTTCGGTCTTGCGCCCCCCACGCTCCCCTTCGGTCTTGCGCCCCCCACGCTCCCCTTCGGTCTTGCGCCCCCCACGCTCCCCTTCGGTCTTGCGCCCCCCACGCTCCCCTTCGGTATCTTGCGCCCCCCCACGCTCCCCTTCGGTCTTGCGCCCCCCACGCTCCCCTTCGGTCTTGCGCCCCCCACGCTCCCCTTCGGTCTTGCGCCCCCCACGCTCCCCTTCGGTCTTGCGCCCCCCACGCTCCCCTTCGGTCTTGCGCCCCCCACGCTCCCCTTCGGTCTTGCGCCCCCCACGCTCCCCTTCGGTCTTGCCCCCCCACGCTCCCCCTTCGGTCTTGCGCCCCCCACGCTCCCCTTCGGTCTTCTGGACTGCAACGGCTTCCTCTGATGTCCACGCACACTGTGAACTTCTCGCAATGTGCATTGGAAGCTGCAGCAAGTCAGACCCTGTCTTTTTTTTCTGGTTTGCATCAGGGCTGAGGGCTCTTGAGAGGAGCGCTGAGGGCAGGGTGACATTTTCAGGAAGCTATGTACAGCACCCCTGCCGGCCCCTCCCACCAGCCATGATCTGCCTGCATCAGATAGAGCATCACAGAGACCCAGTGCTGACATCACTGGTTGGAAAAGGTCTATATAAGCAGATCCTACTACGGTCAGAACAAAGGTGCGGCGAGCCGAGTCCGATCTCTCTCTGTCTGTATGCAGGGCAACGACTCCCAGATGGAGATCTTCTGTGTTCTGAACGAGAATGAGATCAGCAAGAAGATGGAGAGGAAACTGAAACGAGCCAAGAAGAAAATTAAGTAAGTGCTGAATGGAAGAGGGACAGCGGGAGGGTGACGGGCTGTGGGGGGGGGGGGTTCATAGAGAACCCACCCGGTGTCATGGAGGGTGGAGAGGATGTGGTAGGGGAGATTCGGGGGTGTTGGGTGCAAAATATTTTTCATGTATTTTTGTAATATATAAAAACCGCGTATCAACATTGTGTGTGTGTTATTTATATATATATATAGATAGATAGATTTATAGATATAGATTATATTTTTTTTTATATATATTTTAGACTTATATATAATTTTTATATATGTGTGTGTGTGTGTATTTTTATATATATATATATATATATATATGATTTATTTTTTTTTTTTTAGATTTGTGTTGTGTACAAATCTAAAAAAAAATCTATATATAAATCTATAAAAATATAAAAAAAATAAAAAATGTGTGTGTGTGTGTGTGTATATATATATATATATAATATATATATATATATATATATATATATTATATATATATAATATATATATATATATATATATATATATATATATATATACATATATACACACACACACACACATATATATACGTGTATATATATACATATATATACGTGTGTATATATATATATAGAATCCCCCTGAGAATATTAATGAGCATTGAAAGCGTTTCTAGACAATAATCTGTTTTTTTGGTGTTTCAGACAGAAGAAAGGGGAGGAGCCTGAAGAGCCAGCGGTGGAGAGGACGCTCCAAGATGAAATCCAGAAGCTTACAAACCTCAAGGCCTCCTCAAAAATCAAGTAAGACGCTAAGTGGGGTCAGTTTATTGAAAATGTACATAGCTATTCGTCCGTCAAAACTGCATGTACGTTCGTTCACGTGCCCTCCTGAGGATTACCCCTCCCTCCTGACCAGGCCATTATTTGCGATACGTTGCTGTTACTTTAACTGACAGTCATACAACGTCGCACCCAAGTGAAATTTACGTCCTTTTTTCACACAAATAGAAATTTCTTTCGGTGGTGTTTGATCGCTTTTGCTTTTTTTGTTTTTTGCACTATAAAAAAAAAACAATATTTTTGACTCTTTGCTATTAAACACGCCCAGTAAAAAAATTTAAGAAAAACAAATTCTGTGATAAATTTTCAGCCAAAATGTATCCCGCTCCGTGTCTTTGCTGAAACAAATCCTGATACGTGCAAATTAATTGGTTTACGTGAAAGTTCTAGCTAGCGGTATAGATATTGGGATTTTCTTTTCTCTACTAGTAATGGCGGTGATCAGCGACTTATAGCTGGACATTCTGACGCTGGGGGGAACTGACTTGGTGTCACTGACCTCTCCAGTGACACCAATAGTGATCAGTGCTAATAAAGAGCACTGACACTGTACTAATGGCACTGGGCAGGAATGGGTTAACATTTGGGGTGATCAAAGGGTTAACTGTGTGCTGTTGTTCTAGGGGGCGGGGTCTGTCTGCTTCACTGTACTCACACTGCTTTTGGATGGCTGTGCTGTGCAGTGTGCCCGAGCCGACAGGAAAACAAAACAGTTGTCCTTGTTGGAGATGCTCAGTAATCACTGGGCGCCGGCGGGTAATCGCTGGCTGTGACCCGGTGATTGACAGCTGTGGCCGCGAATTGCGGCGTGCCCCCTACCCGAAAGTGCAAAATCACACACATATATATATATATATATATATATATATATATATATATATATATATATATATATATATATATATATATGTATATGTATGTATATGTGATTTTGCGCACCCGTGCCACCCTGTAGTAGTGTATCTGCCATAGGGCGGCCGAGAAGCAGTTAGTGTTACTAAACCCACAACAGTCCAATCAGTCTGTAGATGCAAGTGAAATAATATAAGTGAGCGCTTTTCAAATAAAGCAGCTAGGCACACAGGATAACCAATAACAATCCTCACAAAGACATATGTAAAGTGCAGCGCTAAAATAAAAACAAAAATAACAGATAAATTGCTAAAATAAAATAAAAAAAATATATATTAATAGTCCCAATGGAGGTAAAATAAAGTGAGAAATGCACACTAACCAGATGTGCACATTAAATGTTTTAGTGTAGATATCCTACAGTTCAGCAAGTGGTCATCTGGGTGGTAAAGATAGGTAGATTCCCTCAGGCAAAATGGATCCACGGATGGCACATAGATAGTTAAAAAGTTCCCTTTAAGGGTAAAACCAGGCACAGCTCCATCAAAGGGTAAGACTCCTTCACTGGGTAGAGCGGGTTATGGTGTCTAAAAAAGAGATGCTCCCCCGCAAGGGGTCAAGGAAAAAAAGGTGTCCATAGCGAAGTATAGTTTAATAAACAGCATTTATTAAAAGCATGTGACAGTAGCAGAGGATGCATCCATAAAAAATTGCAGTGTGCAAAGGACTAACCGTCCTGAAAGGAATAATGGCCGCTGGAGCTCCACGATGCTCCGACGGCGTGACGTCACGGCGTACGTAGGCTCCACCTTACGCGTTACGTGCCAAGCACATCCTCAGAGAAAGAACCAAGGATGTGCTTTTTTTTTTTTTTTTCTTAACCACTTGCTGACCAGAGACGGCTACAGCATGTTCGGCTAGTTCTGGAAGGGCATTCCTTGGACGTCCTCCAAGAGTCGCGCCCCCCGAGGGCGCTCATTGGTCATGATCTGTGACCGCGGTGTTCTTAGGACACAGCTGATTACAGATTGTGATAAATGGCCTATCAGAGTGGCTCTTTACCATTTGATCAGCTGTGTCCAATCACAGTGTAAACAGGAAAAGTCGTTTATTGGCAGTCCTCTCCCCACACTGACAGTGCATGAGGAGAGGAGAGCCGGTAAGCTGCGATCTAAACGCGATATCTACATTGATGATTAGTGCCCTGATTATCAGTGCAGCCCCCTCAGTGATGCCCATGAGTGCCGCCCATCAGTGCAACCTCATCAGTGCCCATGAGTGCCCCATATCAGTGCCACCGCATCAATGCCACCTCTTTATGCAGCCCATTCGCACCCATCAGTGCATCCTCATCAGCGCCCATGAGTGTCGCCCATCAGTGCAACCTCATCAGCGCCTACGAGTGCCGCCTGTCAGTGCACCCTCATCAGTGCCACCGTATCAATGCCAACTCTTCATGCAGCCTCATCAGTGCCACCGCATCAATGCCACCTCTTCATGCAGCCTCATCAGTGCCACCGTATCAATGCCACCTCTTCATGCAGCCTCATCAGTGCCACCGTATCAATGCCACCTCTTTATACAGCCCATCCGCACCCATCAGTGCAACCTCATCAGCGCCTACGAGTGCAGCCTCATCAGTGCCACCGTATCAATGCCAACTCTTCATGCAGCCTCATCAGTGCCACCGTATCAATGCCACCTCTTCATGCAGCCTCATCAGTGCCACCGCATCAATGCCACCTCTTCATGCAGCCTCATCAGTGCCACCGTATCAATGCCAACTCTTCATGCAGCCTCATCAGTGCCACCGTATCAATGCCACCTCTTCATGCAGCCTCATCAGTGCCACCGTATCAATGCCACCTCTTCATGCAGCCTCATCAGTGCCACCGCATCAATGCCACCTCTTCATGCAGCCTCATCAGTGCCACCGTATCAATGCCACCCTCTTCATGCAGCCTCATCAGTGCCACCGCATCAATGCCACCTCTTCATGCAGCCTCATCAGTGCCACCGCATCAATGCCACCTTTCATGCAGCCTCATCAGTGCCACCGCATCAATGCCACCTCTTCATGCAGCCTCATCAGTGCCACCACATCAATGCCACCTCTTTATGCAGCCCATCCGCACCCATCAGTGCATCCTCATCAGCGCCCATGAGTGTCGCCCATCAGTGAAACCTCATCAGCGCCTACGAGTGCAGCCTCATCAGTGCCACCGTATCAATGCCACCTCTTCATGCAGCCTCATCAGCGGCCATCTATGCAGCCTCATCAGCGCCCACAAGTGCCGCCTCTTCAGCACCCATCAGTGCAGCCTATCAGTGCCACCTCATTAATGCCACCTCTTCGTGCATCCTCATCGGCACTCGTGAGTGTCACCCATCAGCACGCATCCGTGATGGAGAAAAATCACTTATTTACAGAACTTTATAACAGAAACTAAGAAACATTTTTTTTGTCAAAATTTTTGGACTTTTTTCGTTTAGCAACAATAAAGAAATCCTGTGGTGATTAAATACCACCCAAAGGCTGCTCTAATTGTGTGAAAAAAGATAAAAATTTAGTTTGGGTACAGTGTTGCATGACCCGCGCAATTGTCATTCAAAGTGCGACCGCGCTGAAAGCTGAATATTGGCCCGGCAGGAAGGGGGTGACAGTGCCCGGTGGGCAGGAAGGGGGTGACAGTGCCCGGTGGGCAGGAAGGGGGTGACAGTGCCCTGTAGGCAGGAAGGGGGTGACAGTGCCCGGTGGGCAGGAAGGGGGGGGGGGTGACAGTGCCCGGTGGGCAGGAAGGGGGTGACAGTGCCCTGTAGGCAGGAAGGGGGTGACAGTGCCCGGTGGGCAGGAAGGGGGTGACAGTGCCCGGTGGGCAGGAAGGGGGTGACAGTGCCCGGTGGGCAGGAAGGGGGTGACAGTGCCCGGTGGGCAGGAAGGGGGGGGGTGACAGTGCCCGGGAGGCGAGGAGTTTAAACAAATCCCCGTTTTTTTTGTTTTGCTTTTCTGTGTAAGAACTGACTGACTTTTTGCGCCATTTCTACCCCCTCAGATCATGTGACCTGCTGGCATCTGGGAAGGCGGAGCTAAAAGTAGTGGTCTTGCTGCAGAACAACAGTGTGGAGTGTTTCACGTTACCGGCGGACCCTTCCCAGCCTGGCCCCATTGAATGCAGCCGGAGCGGGCGGCTCACCCTGTGGGGTCATCGCAGCGATGTGCGCACTCTGGCGTTCAGTTCCGATAATATCGCTGTGCTGTCGGCGTCTGCCGAGTCGGTCAGAGTCTGGAACAGGTAAAGCCGACGTCCAATCGGGTTGTTTTGTTTTTCCTGAAAGGTTTATTCCACTCTTCTGCGTTGTCACTCCACACCGCCTGGTGTCTGGGGGGTCGTTCAGCTGGAATCCCGGTGTAACGTCAGGATTTGCTGCTTCGGATGACAACATGTTCTCTCTTTTTGCAGATCAACACTGCAGTGCATCCGATCGATGACGTGTGAATACGCCCTGTCCTCTCTCTTTGTCCCGGGGGACAGACACGTCATTGTGGGGACCAAGGTGAGTCCTCCATGTCGCCTGTACACTGATGGGGGAAGCATGCCGTCCTGTGTACACTGCATGCCAAGTCTATACAGTCATGGCCGAAATTGTTGGCACCCTTGATATTTTTCCTGAAAATCAAGTATTTCACACAAAAAAGGTATTGCATTAACACATGTTTTGCTATACACATGTTTATTCCCTTTGTATGTATTGGAACAAATATAAAACAGAGGCAGAAAAGCAAATATGACATAATGTCACACAAAACCCCAAAAAATGGGCTGGACAAAAGTATTGGCACCCTTAACTTAATATTTGGTTGCACACCCTTTGGAAAACATAACTGAAATCAGTCGCTTCCTATAACCATCAATAAGCTTCTGACACCTCTCACCCGGAATTTTGGACCACTCTTCCTTTGCAAACAGCTCCAGGTCTCTCTTATTGGAAGGACACCTTTTCCCAACAGCAATTTTAAGATCTCTCCACAGGTGTTCAATGGGATTTAGATCTGGGCTCATTGCTGGCCACTTCAGAACTCTCCAGCGCTTCTTTGCCATCCATTTCTGAGTGCTTTTTGACGTATGTTTGGGGTCATTGTCCTGCTGGAAGACCCAGGATCTTGGACGCAAACCCAGCTTTCTGACACTGGGCCCTACAGTGCGACCCAAAATCCTTTGGTAATCCTCAGATTTCATGATGCCTTGCACACAGTCAAGGCACCCAGTGCCAGAGGCAGCAAAACAACCCCAAAAACATCATTGAACCTCCACCATATTTTACCGTAGGTACTGTGTTTTGTTCTTTGTAGGCCTCATTCCGTTTTCGGTAAACAGTAGAATGATGTGCTTTACCGAAAAGCTCTATCTTGGTCTCATCTGTCCACAAGACGTTTTCCCAGAAGGCTTTTGGCTTACTCAAGTACATTTTGGCAAACTGTAGTCTTGCTTTTTTATGTCTCTGTGTCAGCAGTGGGGTCCTCCTGGGTCTCCTGCCATAGCGTTTCATTTCATTTAAATGTCGACGGATAGTTCGCGCTGACACTGATGCTCCCTGAGCCTGCAGGACAGCTTGAATGTCTTTGGAACATGTTTGGGGCTGCTTATCCACCATCCGGACTATTCTGCGTTGCAATCTTTCATCAATTTTCCTCATCCGTCCACGACCAGGGAGATTAGCTACAGTGCCATGGGTTGCAAACTTCTTGATAATGTTGCGCACTGTGGACAAAGGCAAATCTAGTTCTCTGGAGATGGACTTGTAACCTTGAGATTGTTGATATTTTGCCACAATTTTGGTTCTCAGGTCCTCAGACAGTTCTCGTCTCCTCTTTCTGTTGTCCATGCTTAGTGTGGCACAGACAGACACACAATGCAAAGGTTAAGTGAACGTCTCTCCTTTTTATCTGCTTTCAGGTGTGATTTCTATATTGCCCACACCTGTTACTTGCCCCAGGTGAGTTTACAGGAGCATCACATGCTTGTAACATTCTTATTTATCCGCAGTTGTGAAAGGGTGCCAATACTTTTGTCCAGCCCATTTTTGGAGGTTTGTGTGACATTATGTCGAATTTGCTTTCTTTCCTCCCTTTTTTTGTTTTGTCCCAATACACACAAAGGGAATAAACATGTGTATAGCAAAACATGTGTTAATGCAATACGTTTCGTGAGAAATACATGACATGATTTCCTGAGAAATATCAAGGGTGCCAACAATTTCGGCCATGACTGTATATACATATTCAACTGAGGAGTCCTTTCCTTCTCCGGGCAGCTGCGTCGGAGCGGTCCCTCTGCGGCCGGCCGCGTCTGCGGAGCGATCCCCTCTGCGGCCGGCCGCGTCGGAGCGGTCCCTCTGCGGCCGGCCGCGTCGGAGCGGTCCCTCTGCGGCCGGCCGCGTCGGAGCGGTCCCTCTGCGGCCCGGCCGCGTCGGAGCGGTCCCTCTGCGGCCCGGCCGTCGGAGCGGTCCCTCTGCGGCCGGCCGCGTCGGAGCGGTCCCTCTGCGGCCGGCCGCGTCGGAGCGGTCCCTCTGCGGCCGGCCGCGTCGGAGCGGTCCCTCTGCGGCCGGCCGCGTCGGAGCGGTCCCTCTGCGGCCGGCCGCGTCGGAGCGGTCCCTCTGCGGCCGGCCGCGTCGGAGCGGTCCCTCTGCGGCCGGCCGCGTCGGAGCGGTCCCTCTGCGGCCGGCCGCGTCGAGGAGCGGTCCCTCTGCGGCCGGCCGCGTCGGAGCGGTCCCTCTGCGGCCGGCCGCGTCGGAGCGGTCCCTCTGCGGCCGGCCGCGTCGGAGCGGTCCCTCTGCGGCCGGCCGCGTCGGAGCGGTCCCTCTGCGGCCGGCCGCGTCGGAGCGGTCCCTCTGCGGCCGGCCGCGTCGGAGCGGTCCCTCTGCGGCCGGCCGCGTCGGAGCGGTCCCTCTGCGGCCGGCCGCGTCGGAGCGGTCCCTCTGGCCGGCCGCATCGGCTGTCCCGCCATGCCAGAAGCGCTACAAGAGCGACCCCCATCTGACCAGTGTAAAATGCCAAATGCTTATAGTATACTCCCATCCTCTGGAACTCTCTACCCCAATCCATCAGGCTGTCACCTTCCCTCCTCACCTTTTAGGCACACCCTGAAAACCCACCTCTTCAAGGAAGCCTACCCCACCCTCACCTAATTGCTGATCTACACTCCTCCTACTACTCCATCCCCCACAGCCACTTCCTCCTGTACCTATACCCCCTCCCTCATAGATTGTAATCTCGAAAGTGCAGGGCCCTCGAACCCCTTGTGTATTGTATTGTTACTATATTGTCTCATTCTGTCCCCCATTATAATGTACAGCGCTGAGCAAACCTTTTGGTCTTTATAAATACTGTATAATAATAATAGAACACAGTGAGGAACAGAAGTATTTGAACCCCCTGCGATTCTGCAAGTTCTCCCACTTCTCCATCATGGAGGGTCTGACATTCACATTGCAGGGGATTCCCACTCTGAGGACAGAATTCAGGAGATCACATTGCAGGGGATTCCCACTCTGAGGACAGAATTCAGGAGATCACATTGTATGATTTGTAAAGAATGTATTTGTCTCGCACGGCTGAACAGAAGTATTTGAACCCCTGAGAAACAACAAGAATTCTGGCTCTCAAAGACCTGTTACTGCGCCTTTACAAAGTCCCCCTCTACTCCACTCATTCATCTCACTTAGTAGCACCTGTCTGAGCTCTATAAAGACACCTGTCCACCCCACAGTCAGTCAGACGCCAACTACTACCATGGGCAAGACCACAGAGCTGTCAAAAGACACCAGAGACAGAATTGTGGACCTCCACAAGGCTGGAAAGGGCTACGGGGCAATTGCCAAGCAGCTTGGTGAAAATAGATCAACTGTTGGAGCAATTGTTAGAAAATGGAAGAGGCTAAAGACGACTGTCAGTCTCCCTCGGACTGGGGCTCCATGCAAGATGTCCCCTCGTGGGGTATCACTGATGAGAAGAAAGGTGAGGAATCAGCCCAGAACTACAAGGGAGGAGCTGGTCAATGACATGAAGAGAGCTGGGACCACAGTTTCACAGGTCACTGTCGGTAGAACACTACGCCATCATGGTTTCCAATCATGCATTGCATGGAAGGTTCCCCTGCTCCAGTCATCACATGTCCAGGCCCGTCTGAAGGTTCCCCCGCTCCAGTCATCACATGTCCAGGCCCGTCTGAAGGTTCCCCTGCTCCAGTCATCACATGTCCAGACCCGTCTGAAGGTTCCCCTGCTCCAGTCATCACATGTCCAGGCCCGTCTGAAGGTTCCCCTGCTCCAGTCATCACATGTCCAGGCCCGTCTGAAGGTTCCCCTGCTCCAGTCATCACATGTCCAGGCCCGTCTGAAGGTTCCCCTGCTCCAGTCATCACATGTCCAGGCCCGTCTGAAGGTTCCCCTGCTCCAGTCATCACATGTCCAGGCCCGTCTGAAGGTTCCCAATGACCATCTGGATGATGCAGAGGAGGCATGGGAGAAAGTCATGTGGTCAGAGGAGACCAAAGGAGAACTTTTGGTCTAAACTTCACTCGTCGTGTTTGGAGGAAAAAAAGGATGAGTTGCATCCCAAGAACACCATCCCTACTGTGAAGCATGGGGGTGGTAACATCATGCTTTGGGGGTGCTTTTCTGCGAAGGGGACAGGATGACTGCACTGTATTAAGGAGAGGATGAATGGGGCCATTTATTGTGAGATTTTCAGCAACAACCTCCTTCCCTCAGTCAGAGCATTGAAGACGGGTCATGGCTGGGTCTTCCAACATGACAACGACCCGAAGCACACAGCCAGGAGAACCAAGGAGTGGCCCCGTAAGAAGCATATCAAGGTTCTGGAGTCGCCTAGCCAGTCTCCACACCTAAATCCAATAGAACATCTTTGGAGGGAGCTGAAACTCCGTGTTGCTCAGCGACAGCCCCGAAACCTGACAGATCTAGAGGAGATCGGTGTGGAGGAGTCGGCCAAAATCCCTGTTGCAGTGCAAACCTGGCCAAGGACTACAGGAAACGTCTGACCTCTGTAATTGCAGACAAAGGCTTCTGTACCAAATATTAACACGGATCTTCTCAGGGGTTCAAATACTTCTGTTCAGCCGTGCAAGACAAATACATTCTTTACAAATCATACAATGTGATCTCCTGAATTCTGTCCTCAGAGTGGGAATCCCCTGCAATGTGAATGTCAGACCCTCCATGATGGAGAAGTGGGAGAACTTGCAGAATCGCAGGGGGTTCAAATACTTCTGTACATTAGAGACCAATTTGTCATTGAACTCCCAATGTAGTTCCAATAAAAACAGAAGTCCTGTCAAATATGATATTGTTTTCGCTATTCGTTATCACATTTTCTTTGTACAACGCCTTCATCTTCTGTGTCTTTCAGTCTGGGAAGTTGCAGCTGTTTGATTTGTCCTCAGGGAGTGAACTGGACTCGATACCCGCCCACGATGGGGCGTTGTGGTCCATCTGCCTGTCACCTGACCAGGTAGTGTGTTGGGGTGGAGGAGGCAGGAACTGGGGTCACCATATTGCCGGACATTGTGTGTTCATCTCTCCGGTTGTATTTTCAGAGAGGATTTGTGACAGGAGGTGCTGATAAGACGGTGAAGTTCTGGGAGTTTGAATTGGTCAATGACGACTCTGAGGCCCAAAGCAGGTGAGAATCCTGGCCGTGGGTTGTATGAAAAGTAGCTACAGGAGGTGATGTGAAAGGAAAGATCTAAGATTTAGGCCCCATACACAATGGGCGTTTAGATACGGCACATGGTGCTGTAGTGTTTAGTTGAGGGCGGAGGGTACAGGTGTCCTGTCTAGCCCCTCTGTCAGGGGTTGCCAGTGTCTGGTCTAACCCTTCCCAATTTTACCGAAATAAAAATACTTTTTTTTTTTTTTTGCGCTGTAAGTGTCCCCCATGGATATCTGTATTAGCATTTAGGGATGTATGCCTTGTCCTAGGAGAATAGATCGGTCTGTATTAGTAGACCTTCGGCGTGTTTCCCAGGAGAAGAGATCTCCTTTATTAGTAGACCTCGATGGTGTGCCCTGTCCTCAGAGAAGAGATATTCTGCATTAGACCTCGGGTGTTCCATGTCCTAGGAGAAGAGGTCTTCTGTGTAAGCAGACCTCGGGGGTGTTCCCTGTTTTAGAATAGATCTTCTGTATTAGTAGACCTCGGGGGTGTTCCCTGTCCCTAGAGAAGAGATCTTCTGTATTAGTAGACCTTGGGCTTTGCCCTGTCCTTGGAGAATAGATCTTCTGTATTAGTGGACCTCGGGGGTGTTCCCTGTCCTAGGAGAATAGATCTGTATTGGTAGACCCCGGGGGTGTTCTCTGTCCTTGGAGAAGAGATCTTCTGTATTAGCAGACCTCAGGGGTGTACCCTGTCCTAGGAGAAGAGATCTTCTGTGTAAGCAGACCTTGGGGTTGTTTCCTTTTTTAGAAGGATACTGTATTAGTAGACCTTGGGGTGTGTTCCTGTCCTAGGAGAATAGATCTTCTTTATTGGTAGACCTTTGGGGTGTGCCTGTCCTTGGAGAAGAGATCTTCTGTATTAGTAGACCTCAGGGGTGTTCCCTGTCCTAGAATAGATCTTCTGTATTAGTAGACCTTGGGGGCTGTGCCCTGTCCTAGGAGAAGAGAAGAGATCTTCTTTATTGGTATACCTTGGGGGTGTTCCCTGTCCTAGGAGAAGAGATCTTCTTTATTGGTATACCTCGGGGTGTTCCCTGTCCTAGGAGAATGGATCTTCTGTATTAGTGGACCTTGGGGGGGGGGGGGGGGGGGTGTTCCCTGTCCTAGGAGAAGAGATCTTCTTTATTGGTATACCTTGGGGTGTTCCCTGTCCTAGGAGAAGAGATCTTCTGTATTAGTGGACCTTGGGGGGGGTCCTAGGAGAATAGATCTTCTGTATTAGTAGACCTTGGGGGTGTTCCCTGTCCTAGGAGAAGAGATCTTCTGTATTGGTAGACCTTGGGGGTGTTCCCTGTCCTAGGAGAAGAGATCTTCTGTATTGGTAGACCTTGGGGGGTGTTCCCTGTCCTAGGAGAAGAGATCTTCTTTAGAAGTAGACCTGGGGTGTTCCCTGTTCTGTATTAGTAGACCTGGGGGGGGGGGGGGGGGGGGGGGTGTTCCCTGTCCTAGGAGAATAGATCTTCTGTATTAGTAGACCTTGGGGGTGTTCCCTGTCCTAGGAGAAGAGATCTTCTGTATTAGTACCTTGGGGGTGTGTCCCTGTCCTAGGAGAATAGATCTTCTTTGTATTAGTAGACCTTGGGGGTGTTCCCTGTCCTAGGAGAAGAGATCTTCTGTATTGGTAGACCTTGGGGGTGTTCCCTGTCCTAGGAGAAGAGATCTTCTGTATTGTAGTAGACCTTGGGGGTGTTCCCTGTCCTAGGAGAAGAGATCTTCTGCATTAGTAGACCTTGGGGGGTTCCCTCTCCTAGGAGAAGAGATCTTCTGCATTAGTAGACCTCGGGGGTGTTCCCTGTCCTAGGAGAATAGATCTTCTGTATTAGCAGTCCTCGGGGGTGTTCTCTGTCCTAGGAAAATAGATCTTCTGTATTAGTAGACCTTGGAATGTGCCCTGTCCTTGGAGAATATATCTTCTGTTTGGTAGACCTCGGGGGGTGTTCCCTGTCCTAGGAGAAGAGATCATCTGTGTAAGCAGACTTTGGGGGTGTTTCCTTTTTTAGAGAAGAATAGATACTGTATTAGTAGACCTTGGGGGGTGTTCCTGTCCTAGGAGAATAGATCTTCTGTATTAGTAGACCTTGGGGGGGGGGGTGTTCCCTGTCCTAGGAGAAGAGATCTTCTGTATTAGTAGACCTCGGGGTGTTCCCTCTCCTAGGAGAAGAGATCTTCTGTATTAGTAGACCTCTGGGGGGTTTTCCCCTCTCCTAGGAGAAGAGATCTTCTGTATTAGTAGACCTTGGGGGTTGTTCCTGTCCTAGGAGAATAGATCTTCTGTATTAGTAGACCTTGGGGGGGGGTGTGTTCCCTGTCCTAGGAGAAGAGATCTTCTGTATTAGTAGACCTCGGGGGTTTTCCCTCTCCTAGGAGAAGAAATCTTCTGTATGTCAATGTTTAGCGTTTTTGCAGCGTTGTCCTTCACTCTCAATGTGGAATATAAAGGAATGATGTGGTTGGTAGGAGGATCCTGCAGACACTTTGATGAACAAGGTTGGGTGGAGAACAGAAGTCAGTAAAATTTTGGTTAATCCTTGGATCTCTGCCTTGTCCCCAAATGATGAGACGTTTTCACCGCCTCTCCCCCTCTACAGCCGCCGCCTGTCGGTGAAGCAGGCTCGCGTGTTACAGATGGATGAGGATGTGCTGTGTGTGCGCTATAGTCCGGATAGTCGTCTCCTCGCCGTGTCTCTGCTGGATTGCACAGTGAAAATCTTCTTCGTGGACACATTGAAGGTACAGCCGGAACCCGTGGAACTGTTCCATGTGGTCACATTGTAATCCTCCGGCTCACATTCTGATTCTGTCTCTGCAGTTCTTCCTCACTCTTTATGGACACAAACTGCCCGTCCTTTGTATGGACATCTCCTATGTAAGTATGGTACTGGTGGGAAGGGGGGGCTGTATGGGGCAAACTGCAAACAGACCTATGGGGGGGGGGCATCTTGTACCTTGGTAATGGGGGAGGGGGTTTGAGGCAGATTGTATATAAAGATATGTAGGGGGAATCCTTTGCCTTGGTAGGACGGGGGGGTCGTATGGTACAGAGGGAATCCTGTTCCTTGGCGGGGGTTGTGTATGGAGACCTGAGGGGGGTGATCCTGTTCCTTGGCGGGGGGTTGTGTATGGAGACATGTGAGGGGGGTAATCCTGTTCCTTGGTGGGGGGTTGTGTATGGAGACGTGAGGGAATCCTGTTCCTTGGCGGGGGGGTTGTGTATGGAGACATGTGAGGGGGGGGTAATCCTGTTCCTTGGCGGGGGGTTGTGTATGGAGACGTGAGGGGGGGAATCCTGTTCCTTGGTGGGGGGTTGTGTATGGAGACGTGAGGGGGGGAATCCTGTGCCTTGGTGGGGGGTTGTATATGGAGACCTGAGGGGGGTAATCCTGTTCCTTGGCGGGGGGTTGTGTATGGAGACGTGTGAGGGGGGGAATCCTGTTCCTTGGTGGGTGGTTGTGTATGGAGACATGTGAGGGGGGGGAATCCTGTGCTTGGTGGGGGGTTGTGTATGGAGACCTGAGGGGGGTGATCCTGTTCCTTGGCGGGGGGTTGTGAATGGAAACCTGAGGGGGGGTGATCCTGTTCCTTGGTGGGGGGTTGTGTATGGAGACGTGAGGGGGGAATCCTGTTACTTGCGGGGGCTTGTGTATGGAGACATGTGAGGGGGGAATCCTGTTCCTTGGTGGGGGGTTGTGTATGGAGACATGTGAGGGGGGGGGAATCCTGTTCCTTGGTGGGGGGTTGTGTATGGAGACATGTGAGGGGGGAATCCTGTTCCTTGGTGGGGGGTTGTGTATGCGGCAGATTGTATGGGGACATGAAGGGGGAATTACGTGCCATTCCGGGTTTGCTGCTTTGCTTGTATTGGACCAGAGCATATCCCAGCCGTCCTCCTGAAAGCATTTCGATGAAGTTTTTTTTGGGCCTGTGTAGCACGCCCAGCGTCTACATCTGATGAAACGTTTTGCCGTTTGCTGCTCTGTCCGATGTAACGGGACTGATCCCCGGTGACTTTTGCAGGACAGCGCTATTATCGTCACCGGCTCTGCTGATCGGAATATAAAGATCTGGGGGCTGGACTTTGGGGACTGTCACCGCTCGCTCTTCGGCCACGACGACAGGTGAGGACGGGGCATCTTCTCTGCTGATGAAAACATATCATTAGATACATTAGGTTGCTATAGTTATACAAGTATTACATTTTTTTTTTCCTTTTAAAGCGGGGGTCTCCAAACTACGGCCCATGGGCCCACTGTAAGATTTAATTGGCCCCATCAGCTGATGTGAAGTCTCTACTCCGCTGGGGCCCCGATGTAAGGGCGACCTTGATGCAAGGTCTGAGTCTAATGTGGACTCTGAGAAAAGGAGGACTGTGATGGAGACCCATAATGTAAGGGGGATCCTGAAGGAACCCGTAATGTAAGGGGGATCCTGAAAGAACCCGTGACGTAAGGGGGATCCTGAAGGAACCCGTGACGTAAGGGGGATCCTGAAGGAACCCGTGACGTAAGGGGGATCCTGAAGGAACCCGTGACGTAAGGGGGATCCTGAAGGAACCCGTGACGTAAGGGGGATCCTGAAGGAACCCGTGACGTAAGGGGGATCCTGAAGGAACCCGTGACGTAAAGGGGGATCCTGAAGGAACCCGTGACGTAAGGGGGATCCTGAAGGAACCCGTGACGTAACGGGGGATCCTAAAGGATCCCATCAAGTAAGGGGGATCCTAAAAGGATCCCATCGTAAGGGGGATCCTAAAGGATCCCATCAAGTAAGGGGGATCCTGAAGGATCCCATCAAGTAAGGGGGATCCTGAAGGATCCCATCAAGTAAGGGGGATCCTGAAGGATCCCATCAAGTAAGGGGGATCCTGAAGGATCCCATCAAGTAAGGGGGATCCTGAAGGATCCCATCAAGTAAGGGGGATCCTGAAGGATCCATCAAGTAAGGGGGATCCTGAAGGATCCCGTGACATAAGGGGGATCCTGAAGGAACTCGTGACGTAAGGGAGATCCTGAAGGAACCCCTAAGGGGGATGCTGAAGGAACCCGTGACGTAAGGGGGATGCTGAAGGAACCCGTGACGTAAGGGGGATGCTGAAGGAACCCGTGACGTAAGGGGGGGATGCTGAAGGAACCGTGAACGTAAGGGGGATGCTGAAGGAACCCGTGACGTAAGGGGGATGCTGAAGGAACCCGTGACGTAAGGGGGATGCTGAAGGAACCCGTGACGTAAGGGGGATGCTGAAGGAACCCGTGACGTAAGGGGGATGCTGAAGGATCCCATCAAGTAAGGGGGATGCTGAAGGAACCATCAAGTAAGGGGGATCCTGAAGGAACCCGTGACTCTTCCTAAAGAAGTCAAATTCAAAGTTTATTTCCCTAGCACAGCCCCCTCCTGTAGTTACTACACCTCCCTCCTTGCATGTCATAGCCATCTCCTCTTCTGGAGTATCTGATTACTGTCTGTGCTGGCCCAGCTCCTCCACCCCTCACCTTTCCACGTAAGAACAAAGGGGAATAATCTAGAGTATCACTTGAGTGACAGTTTTGGGGCTGCTTACATCACATCCAAGATGGTGGCATCTGGCGGCAATCTCGGGGCCTTTGGATGTCAACACAAGGGAGGGAAATAAACATACAGAGAGACATTAAAACCACGTGTAAAATATTTTTGGGAAGATTGCTGTTGAAATGAAAGCTCTTACGACAGGGTATCTTTAATGATGTCATCGTTTCTCTCGCAGCGTCATGTTTCTGCAGTTTGTCGCGAAGACGCATTTGTTCTTCAGCGGCGGGAAAGGACCGGAAGGTGAAACAATGGGACGCAGATCGCTTCCAGCAGATTCAGACTCTGGAGGTCAGTGAGGCCTGAAGTCTGACATACCATCTTGTATGATTGCGTTTCATGGTTTGGTCAGTCAATACATCCGACTTGGCGAATGAAAACCTCTCTCCTCCCTTATGTTCTCAGGCCACCATGGAGAAGTTTGGTGTTTGGCCGTCAGTCCCAATGGAGACTACGTTGTCTCATCGTCACATGACAAGTCGCTGAGGCTGTGGGAACGGACGAGGGAAACCGCTCATCCTGGAGGAGGAGCAGGAGATGGTGAGAGGGTGGACCTGTGCTATGGTGGGGAGAGGAGGCCCAGGCTGTGGGGTTGGTGTGGGGGGTGCAACATGGAGGGTTCGCAGGAACTCTTTTGGAGGCTTGTAATGCTAAACAAAGCTTAGGTGGTTAGGGGTTCGAAACAGAGGAACTACTGCTGAGGAGATGGATGAGTGGGGATAATGAGGCCCGTGCTGTGTGATGGAGGAGAGAGAGGTCAATGCTATGTGAGGTCAATGCAATATGTGATGAGGGGAGAGACGAGGTCAATGCTGTGTGATGGGGAGGCTATGTGAGAGACGAGGTCAATGCTATGTGATGGGAGGAGAGACGAGGTCAATGCTATGTGATGGAGGAGAGACGAGGTCAATGCTATGTGATGGAGGAGAGACGAGGTCAATGCTATGTGATGGAGGACGGAGACGAGGTCAATGCTATGTGATGACGAGGAGGGAGAGAGGTCAATGCTATGTGATGGGGGGAGACGAGGTCAATGCTAGTGTGATGGAGGAGGGGATGACTATTGTAAGGTGAGGAGGTCAATGCTGTGTGATGGAGGGGAGACGAGGTCAATGCTATGTGATGGAGGGGGGAGACGAGACGTCAATGCTATGTGATGGAGGAGAGACGAGGTCAATGCTGTGTGATGGAGGGAGAGACGAGGTCAATGCTATGTAATGGAGGGGAGACGAGGTCAATGCTATGTGATGGAGGGGAGGGGAGGTCAACTGGTCATGGGATGAGAGTGTGATGTCAATGCTGTGGATGGGAGAGACGAGGTCAATGCTGTGTGATGGAGGGAGACGAGGTCAATGCTGTGTGATGGAGGAGAGACGAGGTCAATGCTATGTGATGGAGGGGAGACGAGGTCAATGCTGTGTGATGGAGGGGAGACGAGGTCAATGCTATGTGATGGAGGGGAGAGACGAGGTCAATGCTGTGTGATGGAGGGAGAGACGAGGTCAATGCTGTGTGATGGAGGGGAGACGAGGTCAATGCTGTGTGATGGGGGAGAGACGAGGTCAATGCTGTGTGATGGAGGAGAGAGACGAGGTCAATGGTGTGATGGAGGAGAGACGAGGTCAATGCTGTGTGATGAGGGAGACGAGGTCAATGCTGTGTGATGGAGGAGAGACGAGGTCAATGCTGTGTGATGGGGGGGGAGAGACGAGGTCAATGCTGTGTGATGGGGGAGAGACGAGGTCAATGCTGTGTGATGGAGGAGAGACGAGGTCAATGCTGTGTGATGGGGGAGAGACGAGGTCAATGCTGTGTGATGGAGGAGAGACGAGGTCAATGCTGTGTGATGGGGGAGTCAAGACCGAGGTCAATGCTGTGTGATGGAGAGAGAGACGAGGTCAATGCTGTGTGATGGGGAGAGAGACGAGGGCCAATGCTGTGTGATGGAGGAGAGACGAGGTCAATGCTGTGTGATGGAGGAGAGACGGGGACCAATGCTGTGTGATGGAGGGGGAGACGAGTCAATGCTGTGTGATGGGGAGAGACGAGGTCAATGCTGTGTGATGGAGGAGAGACGAGGTCAATGCTGTGTGATGGAGGAGAGACGAGGTCAATGCTGTGATGGATGGGGAGACGAGGTCAATGCTGTGTGATGGAGGAGAGACGAGGTCAATGCTGTGTGATGGGGGAGAGACGAGGTCAATGCTGTGTGATGGAGGGAGAGACGGAGGTCAATGCTGTGTGATGGGGGAGAGACGAGGTCAATGCTGTGTGATGGAGGAGAGACGAGGTCAATGCTGTGTGATGGAGAGGAGAGACGAGGGTCAATGCTGTGTGATGGAGGAGAGCACGGAGTCAATGCTGTGTGATGGAGGAGAGACGAGGTCAATGCTGTGTGATGTGGGAGAGACGAGGTCAATGCTGTGTGATGGAGGAGAGACGAGGTCAATGCTGTGTGATGGGGGAGGAGACGAGGGTCAATGCTGTGTGATGGAGGAGAGACGAGAGGTCAATGCTGTGTGATGGAGGGAGGACAAGACCAATGCTGTGTGATGGAGGAGAGACGAGGTCAATGCTGTGTGATGGAGGGGAGACGAGGTCAATGCTATGTGATGGAGGGGAGACGAGGCCAATGCTGTGTGATGGGGGTGGGGGGGGGGGGGGGGGGGGGAGACGAGGTCAATTGCTGTGTGATGGAGGAGAGACGAGGTCAATGCTGTGTGATGGGAGGGGAGACGAGGTCAATGCTATGTGATGTGGAGGAGAGACGAGGTCAATGCTGTGTGATGGAGGAGAGACGAGGCCTTTGCTGTGTGATGGGGGGCAGGAGACAAGGTTAATGCTGTGTGATGGGGGGGACGAGGCCTTTGCTGTGTGATGGGGGGGAGACGAGGTTAATGCTATATGATGGAGGAGAGACGAGGCCAATGCTGTGTGATGGGGGGGACGAGGCCTTTGCTGTGTGATGGGGGGGAGACGAGGTCAATGCTGGTATGATGGAGGGGAGACGAGGCACAATGCTGTGTGATGGGAGGAGAGACGAGGTCAATGCTGTGGTGATGGAGGGAGACGAGGTCAATGCTGTGTGATGGAGGGGAGACGAGGTCAATGCTGTGTGATGGGGGGGGACGAGGCCTTTGCTGTGTGATGGAGGAGAGACGAGGTCAATGCTGTGTGATGGAGGAGAGCTCGAGGCCAGTGCTGTGTGATGGGGGGGACGAGGCCTTTGCTGTGTGATGGGGGAGAGACAAGGCCTTTTGCTTTGCTGGGTGGGGGGATGGGAGACCTGTGCCATGGTGGATCGCTGTGCAAGGTTTTGTAGGGATAAAACAAAGCCTTCTTGGTGTCACATTTATTTTTTAAAAGGGCAACTGCTGGAGACAAGGGGTGGGGTAAATGAAATAGGTTCTGCCCCTCATGTAAAGGGTGTGCCGTGTCTGATAGTTAAAGTGTGTCACTTAATAATACCGCCCCCTGTGGCAGCTGTGTGCAGAACCCCTCCTCGGCAATGAATGACGGGCGTATTTCACATGTGGGATCGACTAGGACAGCGCCCCCTGCAGAATACCGTTTTGTCATAAATAATTGTTCGCTATTACCATCAGAGGTGGGATCGCCAGGCTTGCGCCCTCTACATTGATGAATTGGCGATCATATATTTTTTTCTTCTCCCCTTCCAGCAACGTGAAGCCGCGTTCGAGGAGAGTGTAGGCAAAGGAGACCAGCCGGGCTGTGGTGAGTTTGGATGTCCGTTTGTGCGTATCATCACCTTGTGGGTCCACCCGGGCGTCCATAATAATGATGGCGTCCCTTTTTCTCTGCAGGTGGCGGGAGAGAAGGAAGGGGAGACGGGGCTGGCGGGAAAAGAAGACATCGAGACTGTGAAAGCCGTGAGTGGAATCTGTTTCCATCTCCTCCTACATTTGCCGTTCCCCTCCCGTAATTCACTCTGGTCAGATGTTGGCTGCAATGTGACCCGCGCCATCCTCCATATCCTTTTGTCTCTTTCAGACTGAACGCATCATGGAGGCCGTGGAGCTGCACCGAGAGGAGACCTCCAAAGTGATGGAGCACGAGGCACTGTGCAGAGCAGCGGGCAAAGAGGTGATCAGAACCTACAACCAGCATCCGTTTTATAAAGAGTGACTCCATTTTTGTTGAGGATGGGGGGGGGGGGGGGGAGAAACCTCACCTCACCTCCCCTCCCCTCACCCCCCTCCGGGTGATCTCTGTACATTGCACGGATTTTAAGACTTTGTAGCAGATTCCTACCTTTTGTTGTTCTGAAGAAATAGCTGTTTGCTCCGTGTGAACGTGAGTGGGAGCGACTGCATAATTATCAATCAGCTGCTGCACTTGCAGGGTTTCTAATGAGGAAAGCGGCGGGGTCTGCATCCCTTTAGATGTGAATCTCGACAAAAAATACATTCCGTGTTGCAGGGGATGCCCAAAATCTGGCTTTTATCTTAGTGCAGACTGCTGGGAAAAACAGAGAGCCAGTCGCACCTGCAGGGAAATGACAGTGTAAGGTGATGTAAGGTACACCGTCTGTGTACAGGATGCCTCCAGGCGGCCATATTGGATTGTACGGAAAATTACAGCGGCTGTAGAATGAGAAGGAAACGGAATTTCTAACAACATTCACGTACAATATGATTTGTATCGCAATTCTATATGATATGATGAATATATATATATATATATATATTATATATATATATATATATATATATATATATATACACAGTTGCAAGAAAAGTATGTTGAACCCCTTGGGATTACGTGGAGTTTTGCATGAATTGGGCATAAAATGTGCTCTGAACGTCATCTAAGTCCCAACAATAGAAGAACACAGTCTGGCTGAACATAATACTCACACAAAACATTAGATGTTACCATGGTTTAATTTGCACATAACATGAAAACATTCACAGTGCAGGAGGAAAAAGTATGTGAACCTTTTGGACTTAATAACTGGGTTGAACCCACCCTTCCTTTGCAGCAATAACCTCAACCAACACACGTTTCCTGTCAGTTGCAGATCAGACCTGCACAACGATCTGGAGTCATTTTGGACCACTCCTCTTCACAAAACTGTTTCAGTGTAGCAATATTCTTGGATGTCTGGTGAATCACTCTCTTAAGGTCCTCATGCCACAGCATTTCAATGGGGTTGAGGTCAGGACTCTGACTGGGCCACTCCAGAAGGCGTATTCTGTGCTGTTTGCAGCCATTGTTTTGTTGAATGACTTGTATGCTTTGGGTCATTGTCCTGCTTTGCATCACCCATCCTCTGCGGAGCTTCAGTTGGCGCGGACAGATTGGTTGTAAAAACGTTTTCCTGCAAAATTGTCTTTGATAAACTCTGGAATTCATTTTCCCCCATCAATGACAACAATCCGTTCCAGGCCCTGAGGCAGCAAAGCAGCCCCAAACCATGATGCTCCCTCCGCCCATGTTTCACAGTGGGACTCTGGGGGGGGGTTGACTGACTTGGTGTCACTGACATCCCCAGTGACACCAATACAATGATCAGTGCTAAAATAAAAAAAGCACTGGCACTGGGCAGGAAGGGGTTAACATGAGGGGCCATCAAAGGGTTACCTGTGTTGTTGGTGTGTGTTTTACTAAGGGGCGGAAGTCTGTGTGCTTCACTGTACTCACACTGCTGTGGATGGCTGTGCTGCACAGTGTGTTCGAGCCAACTGTTAGTAAACAAAACGGCTCGGAAATCACCGGGCGCCAGCGAGTAATTAACTGTCCCGGGGACCTGGTGATTGACAGCTGCGGCCATGAATGGCGGCGCAGGTAGGGTGCTTGCGTGCGCCCCCTACCCGGAAATGCAAAATCATGTAAACCAGTGTTTCTCAACTCCAGTCCTCATGGACCCCCCCCAACAGGTCATGTTTTCAGGATTTCCATTATTTTGCACAGTGTGATTTGATCAGTTTCACTAGCCTTAGTAATTACCACAACAGCTGTGTTTCATCTGAGGGAAATCCTGAAAACATGACCTGTTGGGGGTCCATGAGGACTGAGTTGAGAAACACTGATGTAAACAAACGGGCTAAATGGGTTGGTGGTAAAACAGTTAATAGGGAACCTGGGGCCACCTAAAAAATCATCACATAGGGGACTTTGGGGGAAAAAAAAAATAAAACTTAAGTAAAAATAAATGTTTTTTTATTGCAAAACAATAGAGTTATAGCCAAGTACATAACATCCCCCCCCCCCCCCCCCCAAAAAAAAAGAAAATTTTGAGGCCCCCCACATATACAAACGTACGCAAGTAAACGCGCATGCACACGTTAGGGTTGCCTACATGTGAAAAGTTGATTGTGATACACAGTTACATATCGCCGCGCACTCCGGAGTGAGACCGATAATTCCCCACACCAGGCCTCCCCCGTCGCACTAAATTGATGACCTGTAGGGGGGGCTTTGAGGCGTCGCCTATAGAAAATATCGGGTACTGACGTTTTGTCGCCATTTCACGGACGCACGCAAATTTTAGGTTTGGCATGTCGGGTATCTATTTTACTCGGCGCGCAACCTCGTCTTTTATATATTGCCAAAAATCTGGGTAATTTATTGCGTTTGTTTTGCCTTAAAATCCACTTTAGTGAGTTTTTTTTTTTTTTTTCTTTTACTGACTGAAATTTTGCATTTCCTAGGCTTTTGCAGTAATATCATGCGGCATGAATACCGATCGACTAATTATTGTTCTACATTCGCAGCTCCCCCGGAAGGTTCACCCCATCCTGCGGGCGTACGGGAACATCTCGGTAAGTGCGAGAGGAAGTCCTGATATAGCGGGAGGACATAAACCTGTCTGTGGGGTTCAGTCCAATTTTTATTTTTAAATCGAACTATTAGCTGGCGGGTCACTTAGAACACTAATTATATTAATGACAATATGACCCCAGCATCGCCCCCCCCGATTGTCAGGGCCTGGGTCCCCCCCCCCCCGATGTCAGGGCCTGGGTCCCCCCCCCCCCGATGTCAGGGCCTGGGTTCCCCCCCCCCCGATGTCAGGGCCTGGGTCCCCCCCCCCCGATGTCAGGGCCTGGGTCCCCCCCCCCCCGATGTCAGGGCCTGGGTCCCCCCCCCCCCGATGTCAGGGCCTGGGTCCCCCCCCCCCCGATGTCAGGGCCTGGGTCCCCCCCCCCATGTCAGGGCCTGGGTCCCCCCCCCCCATGTCAGGGCCTGGGTCCCCCCCCCCCCATGTCAGGGCCTGGGTCCCCCCCCCCATGTCAGGGCCTGGGTCCCCCCCCCCCAATGTCAGGGCTGGGACCCCCCCCCCCCCCCAATGTTAGGGCCTGGGTCCCCCCCCAATGTTAGGGCCTGGGTCCCCCCCCCCCCCATGTTAGGGCCTGGGTCCCCCCCCCCCATGTTAGGGCCTGGGTCCCCCCCCCATGTCAGGGCCTGGGTCCCCCCCCCATGTCAGGGCCTGGGTCCCCCCCCCATGTCAGGGCCTGGGTCCCCCCCCCAATGTTAGGCCTGGGTCCCCCCCCCCCCCCAATGTTAGGGCCTGGGTCCCCCCCCCAATGTTAGGGCCTGGGTCCCCCCCCCCCCCCCAATGTTAGGGCCTGGGTCCCCCCAAGTTGTGTCGATGTACCGCCTGGGATTTGCATATTACTGTGTGAGAGTTGTAAAGAGAAGTTCCAGAACCGCCACTATGGTAAGTGAACACAAGATGGCGCTCCTACCCCAATGTAATAGAACCTCCGTACTCGGGTCACTTCCAGAATTCGGGCCGATTATCAGAATTCTCACCGGAATGGGAACTCATTTTATGTTCCTGGGGAAGGACAGGACTGATCGGTCTTCCAGCCCGGGCTGGTTTTTATTATGCCCCCATAGAGCACGAGGGGGGGAAGGGGGAGACCTATATCCTGCCAGGCAAACAAGGCATTTGCCTTGGGCGCATTTTCCAGGTGGGGGGGCACTGAGTTTAGTGTTGTCTAGGGCAGTGGTGGCACGCCTTATCTGTGGGCACGCCAGGAGAATCCAGCGGCGCGCTGTCTTCCCCGCTGTAGTGTGCGTGACAGCCGGGTCCCAAGTGCGCATGCACAAGAAGCAGTGCTCCTTGTGAATGGTAAGGCGGTACCTGGGACACATGACAGATCCCAGAAGCCGCCGGACCAATCACAAAGCGCAGAGCTTCTCGCGCATGCGCACTGGGCATCCGGCTGTCCGACGAGCGCCCACACTACAGAAGCCGGAAGACAGCGAGCGGCTGGATCGAAGAACAGGTAAGATGAAAAAAAAAAAAACTCTGCGGAAGTAAGAGCGGGTACCTGTCAAATTCAGGTACCCGCTCCCCCCTCCCTCCCCAAAGGTCAGCAGTCATCCCTGTGCTGTGTCCCCAGTCTCTGGTCATCCCTGTGCTGTGTCCCCAGTCTCTGGTCATCCCTGTGCTGTGTCCCCAGTCTCTGGTCATCCCTGTGCTGTGTCCCCAGTCTCTGGTCATCCCTGTGCTGTGTCCCCAGTCTCTGGTCATCCCTGTGCTGTGTCCCCAGTCTCTGGTCATCCCTGTACTGTGTCCCCAGTCTCTGGTCATCCCCGTGCTGTGTCCCCAGTCTCTGGTCATCCCCGTGCTGTGTCCCCAGTCCTCTGGTCATCTCCTGTACTATGTCCGCAGTCTCTGGTCATCCCCCTGTACTGTCCGCAGTCTCTGGTCATCCCTGTACTGTCCGCAGTACTGGTCATCCCTGTACTGTCCGCAGTCTCTGGTCATCCCTGTACTGTGTCCGCAGTCTCTGGTCATCCCTGTACTGTGTCCGCAGTCTCTGGTCATCCCTGTACTGTGTCCGCAGTCTCTGGTCATCCCTGTACTGTGTCCGCAGTCTCTGGTCATCCCTGTACTGTGTCCGCAGTCTCTGGTCATCCCTGTACTGTGTCCGCAGTCTCTGGTCATCCCTGTACTGTGTCCGCAGTCTCTGGTCATCAGCCCTGTACTGTGTCCGCAGTCTCTGGTCATCCCTGTACTGTGTCCGCAGTCTCCCTCTGGTCATCCCTGTACTGTGTCCGCAGTCTCTGGTCATCTCCTGTACTGTGTCCGCAGTCTCTGGTCATCTCCTGTACTGTGTCCGCAGTCTCTGGTCATCTCCTGTACTGTGTCCGCAGTCTCTGGTCATCCCTGTACTGTGTCCGCAGTCTCTGGTCATCCCTGTACTGTGTCCGCAGTCTCTGGTCATCTCCTGTACTGTGTCCGCAGTCTCTGGTCATCCCTGTACTGTGTCCGCAGTCTCTGGTCATCTCCTGTACTGTGTCCGCAGTCTCTGGTCATCTCCTGTACTGTGTCCGCAGTCTCTGGTCATCTCCTGTACTGTGTCCGCAGTCTCTGGTCATCATCCTGTAACTGTGTCCGCAGTCTCTGGTCATCCCTGTACTATGTCCGCAGTCTCTGGTCATCCACCCCTGTACTAATGTCCGCAGTCTCTGGTCATCCCTGAACTGTTAATTAGTTTGCACTACTGTACGAGTTGTTTTTTTTCTAAACCAAAAGCTCGATATTCAGGTTTCATTGCAGTGTTGGCACTATTGAAAGAAATAAGTTGGTTTTGGGTTGCAGTTTGGGCACTCGGGCTCTCAAAGGGTTCGCCATCACTGGTCTAGGGGCACCACAGACACAAAATGCACCTCTGCCATAGAAAGTCCATTCTGTTGTATATCAATGGTTCCACCAAGCTGACCATTCCTGACCTTCCTGTCCCCCCCCGCAGTCCTCCGAGTATTTCCTGGATGTCCTGAAGAAAGTGAAGATCGAGGTAGGTACCCCCCCTCCTGTGTGTGTCTGTGTGCGGGAATTCAGACAGAAGGGGTCCCCTGCCTACCATTTCTGTGCTTCCTCCATACAGAGTGCAGGGTTACCTTGGTAACCCCCCCCCCCCCCATCCCCAGCAACGCATACTTCACTTTTTTTGTTTTTGTTCCCCCTATATTTAGCGCCACCATTAGAAGTTTTAGGGCCCCCTTGCCCCCCCCCCCATCTCCACTCTTTACCACCCCCATTTACCCCCCCCCCCCCCATTTACCACCCCTTTGTTGATCCTCCTTCCACCCTCTTTACCCCCCTCTTCCTTTTACCCCCACGCACCCCTTTACTCCACCCCCCACGCACCCCTTTACTCCCCCAAACCCTTTCCTCCCCACGCACCCCTTTCCCTCTTTCCCCCCCCACGCTCCCCTTTCCCTCTTTCCCCCCCCTACGCACCCCTTTTCCCCTCACACACGCCCTTACCTCCCCCCTTCCCCCCCCCCTTCCCCCCCACACACCGCCCTTACCCCCCCCCTTCCCCCCCACGCACACATGCCCTTCCTTCCCCCCCCCCCCCCACGCACGCCCTTCCCCCTTCCCCCCCCCCCCACGCAAAACGCCCTTACACCCCCCCACCCCCACCCCTTTCCCTCTTTCCCCCCCCCACCACGCCCTTCCCCCCCCCCGCACCCCTTCCCTTTCCCCCCCCAACCTTCCCCCCCCCACGCCCCCCCCCCCTCCCCCCCCCCCCTCCCCCCCCCCCCGCCTCCCCCTTCCCCCCCCCCACCTTCCCCCCCCCCGCCCACCCCCTCCCCCCCCCCCCTTATCCCCCCCCCCCCCACGCACCCCCCCCCCCCCCCCCACCCCCACCCCCTTTTTACCTCCCCCCCCCCCCCCCCCCCCCCCCCCCCCCCCCCCTTTTTCCCCCCCCCCCCCCCCCCCCCCCCCCCACCCCCCCCCACCCCCCCCCACCCCCCCCGTTTTCCTTCTCCCCCCACCCCCCCCCCCCGCCCTTCCCCCCCACGCACCCCTCCCCCCCCCCCCCCCCACCCAGCAATGCATACTTCACTTTTTTGTTTTTGTTCCCCCGCGCCACCATTAGAAGTTTTAGGGCCCCCTTGCCCCCCCCATCTCCACTCTTTACCACCCCCCATCACCCCCCCCCCCCCCCCTTACCACCCCTTTGTTGACTCCCCCCACCCTCCCCCCCCCCCTCTTCCCTTACCCCCACCCCCCTTTACTCCACCCCCCACGCCCCCCTTTACTCCCCCCCCCCCCCCACCACGCACCCCCCCCCCTCCCTCCCCCTCTTTCCCCCCCCCCCCCCCCCCCCCCCCCCCCACACACCCCCCCCCCCGCCCTTCCCCCCCCCACGCACGCCCTTCCCCCCCCCCCCCCCCCCCCCCCCACGCACACCCCCCCCCTTCCCCCCCCCCCCCCCCACGCACACGCCCTTACTTCCCCCCCTTCCCCCCCACCCCCACGCCCTTACTTCCCCCCCTTCCCCCCCACGCACGCCCTTACCCCCCCCCCCTTCCCCCCCACGCGCAACCCCCTTACTCCCCCCCCTTCCCCCCACGCACGCCCTTACCCCCCCCTTCCCCCCCCACGCACCCCTTACTTCCCCCCCTTACCCCCCCCACGCCGCCCTTACTTCCTCCCCACGCTCCCCTTTCCCTCCCCCCCCCCACGCACGCCCTTCCTTCCCCCCCACGCCACGCCCTTCCTTCCCCCCATGCACCGCCCCTCCCCCCCCCCCCCCCCCCCCCTTCCCCCCCCACGCCCTTTCCCCCCCCCCCGCACGCCGCCCTCCCCCCCCCCCACGCACGCCCTTTCCCCCCCCCCCACGCACGCATCCCCCCCCCCCCCACGCACCGCCCTTACTTCCCCCCCCCCCCCCCCACGCACGCCCTTACTTCCCCCCCTTCCCCCCCACGCACGCTCCCTTACTTCCCCCCCCCCTTCCCCCCCACGCACGCCCTTACTTCCCCCCCTCCCCCCCCCACGCACGCCCTTACTTCCCCCCCTTCCCCCCCACGCACGCCCTTACTTCCACTTCCCCCTCCCCCCCCCCCCCCCACCCCCCCCCCCAACCCTTCCCCCCCCCCCCCCCCCCCCCCACCCCCTTCCTTCCCCCCCCCACGCATCCCCTTCCCCCCCCCCCCACGCACGCCCTTCCTTCCTGCCCCCCCCCCCCACGCACGCCCTTCCTTCCCCCCCCCCCCCCACGCACGCCCTTCCCCCCCCCCCCCCCCCACGCACGCCATTTCCCCCCCCCCCCCCCCACGCACGCCCTTTCCTCCCCCCCACGCACCCCCTTCCTCCCCCCCCATGCCCTTCCTCTCCCCTTACGCCCCCCCTTCCCCCCCCACCCCCCTCTTCCCCCCCTTTCCCCCCTCTACATTTTCTATTCAATAACTTGAGTATATTTTTCTGTATTTTCTCACGTTCCTCTTTATTCTTTCCTCTGTGCTCTTTAGTACCCATCCCACCTCCCCTGACCAGCAGGTGTCACTGTTTTAGCTCTCTGACACCGCAGCCCCCTTCCTACAAAGCAGCTGGAACAGCGACACCTGCTGGCGACAGAATCAAACAGCGTTTTGTAGACTTTCTCCCATCAATATCCTTAAAATAGGAGACCGGAAGTTGTGGGGGGGGGAGGGGGGAGTGAGGGGGGGGGGGAGGGCCAGCGAGGGAATGGATGTGGACTTCATGGAAATGTGTTCTTTGTTGCAGTGAGTTGGAGGAGTCGCTGCTTGTTCTGCCGTTCTCCTACGTCCCCGACCTGCTGGCCCTCTTCCGGGATTACATCCTCCGCAGCCAGGAGGTGGAGTTGATCTGCCGCTGCCTCTTCTTCCTGCTCAGGTAAATGAGTCAACTCCGCCCTGATGGAAGCAATGGGCGGGATCCTGGGAGGAGTTATGCTTCGATGGGTGGGGCAGTCTGGAGGAGGTAGACTGAATTTGCATGTAGACCTCCCTAGGTAGCGCCCACATGTGATGCTGACCTTACACGATTGATGAGCTGAGAGCCAGTGAATGGAAGGGGCGGGGCCAGGTACGGTCAGGCTTAGGAGGGAGGAGCTAGATGATGCCGGATGTTCTCCAGCCAGGAAAGGAGGCGGAGCTCTATCTGACTGGCTGGAGCTTCTAATGCAAGTTGTGAGAAGAAGTAATTTCAGTCCAGGGGAGGAGCCAGGACACCTGTGCAAGACTGAAGGGGAGGAGCCGGTACACCTGTGCAAGACTGAAGGGGAGGAGCCGGTACACCTGTGCAAGACTGAAGGGGAGGAGCCGGTACACCTGTGCAAGACTGAAGGGGAGGAGCCGGTACACCTGTGCAAGACTGAAGGGGAGGAGCCGGTACACCTGTGCAAGACTGAAGGGGAGGAGCCGGTACACCTGTGCAAGACTGAAGGGGAGGAGCCGGTACACACCTGTGCAAGACTGAAGGGGAGGAGCCGGTACACCTGTGCAAGACTGAAGGGGAGGAGCCGGTACACCTGTGCAAGACTGAAGGGGAGGAGCCGGTACACCTGTGCAAGACTGAAGGGGAGGAGCCGGTACACCTGTGCAAGACTGGAGGGGAGGAGCCGGTACACCTGTGCAAGACTGGAGGGGAGGAGCCAGTACATCTGTGCAAAACTGAAGGGGAGGAGCTGGGATGCATGTGCAAGACTGGAGGGGAGGAGCCGGTACGCCTGCGCAAGACTGGAGGGAGGAGCCGGGACGCCTGCGCAAGACTGGAGGGGAGGAGCCGGGACGCCTGCGCAAGACTGGAGGGGAGGAGCCGGGACGCCTGCGCAAGACTGGAGGGGAGGAGCCGGGGCGCCTGCGCAAGACTGGAGGGGAGGAGCCGGGGCGCCTGCGCAAGACTGGAGGGGAGGAGCCGGGGCGCCTGCGCAAGACTGGAGGGGAGGAGCCGGGGCGCCTGCGCAAGACTGGAGGGGAGGAGCCGGGGCGCCTGCGCAAGACTGGAGGGGAGGAGCCGGGGCGCCTGCGCAAGACTGGAGGGGAGGAGCCACTACGCCTGCGCAAGACTGGAGGGGAGGAGCCACTACACCTGCGCAAGACTGGAGGGGAGGAGCCACTACACCTGCGCAAGACTGGGGGGGAGGTGCCACTACACCTGTGGGAGTTCCCGATCACCCTGGGTGCGACTTGCCATGTGATTTCCATGCTATACGACTGACAGATCACATGCCAAGTTGCACCCCATTGCTCCACATTCCAGTGATCATACCGGAGGTCCCGTCTTGGTCAGAACATGCAATACTTTGGGTGCGATTTGCATAGACCTCGGTGTCACTCAAATCACAACTCAAATCGGCATGCCACTAAAATTTGAAATCGTGCGACTCACTGTAAGTCGGTGTGAAGGGGAGGGGGGGGGGTTCTGTTTTGGATGTTTTCTACAATATTTATGTGGAATCTTTCCTCCCCGCCTCCTCTTCTCGTAATTCAGGATTCATTTTGGCCAAAATCACCAGCAACCAGATGATGCTGGGAGTCATCGAGGACTTGAAGAACTGCACCATCTCCCGGGTGTCGGAGTTCGGGTAAGAGGCTGAAACACCATGTTGTCTCCATTCAGCATCTTCATATTCTAGCCGTATCCTACAGCTGGGGCCTCCAAACGTTCCAAACAAGGGGCCAGTTTACTGTCCTTCAGACATCAGGGGGGCCGGACTGTGGCCAGGAGGAGTAGAAATTGTCCTGGTGTGGGAGTAAGCAATACATTATTTTTGGTGTCAGTGGGAGGAATAGTGCCCCATCATTGGTGTCGGTGGGAGGAATAGTGCCCCATCATTGGTGTCAGTGGGAGGAATAGTGCCCCATGATTGGTGTCAGTGGGAGGAATAGTGGCCCATGATTGGTGTCGGTGGGAGGAATAGTGCCCCATGATTGGTGTCGGTGGGAGGAATAGTACCCATCGTTGGTGTCGGTGGGAGGAATAGTGTCCCATCGTTGGTGTCAGTGGGAGGAATAGTGCCCCATCATTGGTGTCAGTGGGAGGAATAGGGTCTCAAGGTCTGGAGAATGGCAAGCAAAGGGCCACAATCTGGCCCCCAGTCCACAGTTTGGAGACCACTATCCTAGAGCACTATGGGTTTATCTGAAGTTAGTCACAGTCGAGCGCTGCCTTGCGTTTGCAGCCCCATGGGTCTGATT